AATTTTATTTTTCTAATTAATATTAAAAATAATTTTATTATTGTCATAAAGATAAAGTATAAATTATTATTTTTATACATACAATATGGATGTTAAATCGAAGCTCATCAAAAGAAAATTAATTTGATATATTATATATGTAAAACTGATAAAAAAATACAAAAGTTATTAACTTTAAAAATATATATACAATTCAATAGTTATAATAAGGAATGATATTAAAATGCTATTAATATATGTAACATGACCATAAATAATCAATATATTTATGGTAATCCGAACCTAATTATTTTTGGTTTGGAATTAAATTAAAATTACTCAAGCCTAACAACGAAGCATGTAATTTTGCCACATAAGATTCCGAAGCACCAGAAGCAGCCACGTAGGCTCAGCGCATTCTGGATTAATATAGAGGGGCGATTTTATTTAAAACAAAAATAAACATAAACTGCTTTTTAAAGGAAAACACAGAAATATCCATAAATGCAGGAGTTTAGCTCATTGAGTATGAAGAGGAGATTGTAAATTATTAGAGAAAAATCCATATATATACACGTATTCATTGCCTTCAGGTTTCACACAAAAGCACAATCATAATCTATAACATGTATTCCAATTTTATTTCATGGGGTGCATATGATCACAGCTTTGCTTGTTCTTCAAGTTGTTCCTGCTCAAAGGATTCTCGAGTCAAAACAAAAGGTAAAAGTAAATCTGCTAAGTAGTAAGTTTAACTTCATGTTTGCGAAAATTCAGTTTTAGTAAATCGAGCAGAAACTATATAAGGTTTCAAAAAAGCCATACGGATTAGATGCCTTCGGTACACATGCACTTCAAGATGTCTATTTTGTTTGTCATTCATGAATTGATGTAAGAAAGACGGTAAAAAACAAATGCTTATTTTCCTTCTGTAGAAATCCCGATCAATATATTCACAGTTTTGCGTTTGAATGTTAGCTGATATGACGGAATTTGAGATATGCACACGTTATGCATTGACTTTATTTCCATTAGGAAAAAGATGAATTAAATATGAGATGTGTGTACTGTAACTAACCTCAGTCACAAAGAAAGCATGGAAACCATATGGAACTCTTTTGGGTAGTTCAACAACTGCAACAGGCTCAGGTGACATTGTTTTCGCGTCAATCACGTTTACAGCTGATTTTCTGTACAGCTCATGAAAAATTAGGATCAAGTCAAATAATATGACGTGTTTTTGCTAGTAAAGTACAGTAACAGGACAGCAACTAAGATAATAAAACTAGATAATATATCCAAACCTCAGGAATTAAGAAAATAGCAAAAAAAAAAAAAAAAAAAAATAACAAGTTGTATAGAGTTTAACGATTTTCCATCCTGCATTTTGTACTCCATTCCGTATTTATTTCATAATCTAACGATTTTAATGGGCGTGCCAACCAAGACATCCTGCAATGGCTCACGCAGTAATTAACGAAAATTAGAACAAAAACAGTACCCAGTTTTTTCGTCATGTGCAAAGAATATCAAGTAGCCATCATCTTCTTCAGATGTGGTGCCAGGCTGACGTGGAACAAAAATAGCCTCCGAGCCGAATCTTCCAGGCCCCAGATCAAAGATGCCACTGACATTTCCTCCAACTTTGAGCTTTTCTTTTTCGATCTCTGGTTTTTCATGTAAATCAAACTTGATAATTCCTGTCACCTTTGCAATTTCATCCAGTATAGTCCCATACACATAACGTTGTTTCCTGAATGCATAAAAAAAGAACAAAAATTAATACCTATTAAACATCATAACCATTTATTAGATACCAAAAAGAAGAGGAGGAAAAGGGAGGATCATTAACAACTGTCTAGGAAGTCCTGAACTTCTACGGAGCTCTATTTTCTGTTTGCAGCCTAAATATGACCTGAAGTTCATAAAAATTTTACCTGCCAGTGTAGCTTTCATTCACCCTTGGAAAATCTACAGCAGATACGGATAATCTTTTCTGAGTAGCAAGACCATTTTTTAGGTTGAATCTCATCTCATACCTGATGCAAAACACAACATATGATCTTTCAGTTATATGCGAGTATGTTTCTTACAGATGTTAAAAGGAAAAAAAAAAGTGTCTTACAGTTCATTTGTGAAATGCTCAAGCTTTCCTTCTACCGAGCCATTTATCTGGTCAAGATCTGGGTTCTGAAGCCGACAAGTGATTAAAACAACTTCATCTCCTTCCTCCCAAGCATTTGCTGAAAGAAAGACATAATCAGTCGGCAAGTCTAAAAGCAGTCATAAAATTACGGCAATATGTATGAGCATGGCATTCCTTTAAACCTTGACATGGGGATTTGACCTTTCGTTCCCGTGGCTTGTCATTTTAGGTTAACCAGAGGCATAGTTTTTATTGACAAAGGTTGTAACTTTGACAAAAAGGTCTTTGGTAGGTCCCAAATCTGTAAACTACTTTTATTTTCTTTTTTCTAACGTCCAAAGAGGTATAGATGTGTTCACTTGACAACTACTGAAGATACTTGGAATAACTAAAAGTACATTTGGCTTGCAATTCTAAGGCACATGAGTATTAAGACGCTCACCATTATGAAATATGAAGCAATTCGGGAGCTCAAACCACCTAATTAAAAGCTCGTTCTTTGCATACCGCGGAAGGATTCCAAAACGAGCTTTCTTAGTACGATCGAAACTGAAGGCAAGTTTCTTTTCCTTCACCATTTCCTGAGAATATGGTAATACTGACTAGTGTAAGTAATCATAACTAATGACAATTTCGGTATGAAGTAATAACTTAATGATTACAGAGTGTATGTTAACAAGACAATCAGTTACATGGGCAGACATTGTACAAGCTCCAATTATGTACTATTTTCGTACATTAAACATCGTCATAATTAAGATCGGTCAACCTAGCAAGTGCTAATCAATCAAGAGAAGCCATTTAAAGTAAGAAAACAGGAGTCAATTGAAACAGATTAACATTAAATTCGTAATGCATACTAATTCCTCATAATTTTATAGATGAGACCATGATTAAACATCTTATACACTGTAACATGGGATCTAAAGATTTTTACTTCTTAAGTAATAAATGTGGGTTTGTTAAAAACTGGTCCATGATGTGGATTTATTATGCCTATTCGTAAAGGAAGAGAAAAACATTTAGATCAACCTTTGTACGTGGATAACATAATTGACATCTTCTATAGGTTAAAAAAAATGAATATGTCAATGATGGTATATAAAAAAGGACTGCATAAATCATTTCACATAAACAGGTAAATAGGTAAGTAAAGTTAAGAACGTTGCATGATCACCGCACCTTTGGCCTGAAGTACAACGGTAGATCCATAAATATTGCATAATTTTCAGTAATGGCAAAATCATGCATCATAATTGGTGCTGCTATTGTTATTGGCACTGGATCCTGCATTACACCATCCTTCGATATGACTCTGTATGTAACATATGGTGGGGTGTGTGAATAGCCAAAGGTAAACATTTCCCCTGAAAAAAATAATTAAAATAAAATACATACATCACTTTTATAAGAAAATAGATAACAGGAAACAGAAATCTTTTAAAATTGCATTTATGACGAAACCAATTGAGCTTAAAAATTAGTACAAATTCGACCATGTCTACCACAAGTTTCTGTATTTTACTTGAGCGATGCTGTAAAGGATATATCAGTACAGGTTTCAAACTTGGTAGTGAATATGATAGTCATAAAAAAATTAACCAAGCAAGATGACTTGGCTAAATGTTGTAGTAAATTACTTGTACCATAGGACTCAAATTGTCTACGAACTTACCCGTGACAGGGTCAACTTTAGGATGAGCAGTAAAAGAATGTGACAGTCTTTTGTCATAGTCGAGCAAGCCAATGGTCTGTAGATCTCCATCTTCCAAAACTTTGATGGCATCTGTGCAGCACACATAGTGGTAAATGAAAAACATATATGACCATATATATGGTGCCCAGATGTTCGTTTTCGTTTCATAATAGTGACAATTTTCACCTTTATATTAAGTCAAAAGAAACTACGAAAGAGAAAATGCTAACGATGAAAGATTGGAATAGATATTAAAATAAAACCTTCAGGAAGGGGCATAGCTATGAAATATAATTGTGAAAAAGAACGCGAACTTACATGGTTTATCACCCTCACTGAGAGCCAAAAGATTCCCATTGTGGTAGACCAGGGCTGTATTAGCTGAAATGGGGTTCCACACTCAATAAGTTACAAGCATAACGTTAGAAGCGGTCAACAATGAAATAAAAAAGGACCCATGTTTTATATTCTAAAGATGCTGGCTCTATTTATAACAGAAAGTATATATAAGTGAAATTAGAAAGATGCATATCAGATGAATAGATAAGCAACATGTCACGTGACAACCATGTAAACTACTACAGACAATTGTCCGTAAAAATTAGCAAGCCTCAAACATATTAACACAAAAAATGGTACAGTTTGTTCCAGCTGACTCACAGATGCACACCTATATCCATACCCAGAGAGAGGGAGGGAGGGAGGGAGGAAATAAGAGAGAGAGAGAGAGAGAGAGCAATTTAGATGGTAGAAAGCATTAATCAACCATACCTGTACCGTATCCATAAGAATCATCGAGTATATTGAATTTATATCTTAGCATTTGCATATAAACTGTAACAAGTCCAAATACTCCTTTGAGGTCACCAATCTGCAAAGCATGTAGACATTACAGAGCACCATACAGTATATTTTGAAGCACAGACAACCATGCTCATGTAATTACGATCAACAAATTCTTGTTTCAAACAAGTATACATAACCAGGCAATGATAAGTACTAGGTTATTGTCAGAAACACACAATGCGGTCTCTTTCAGGATACTCCCGTTTCAGTAATTAAGATAAAGCTGATAGTATTGAACGTTCTATAAACTGGCTTACTAACAATTTTTAGAGTTATGGTACTTGAACATTCTATATACTGGCTTATTCACAATTTTCAGAGCTTTTCATTCGATGGTCAGAGTGAAATAGTACAATCTAAGTTTCTAACAGCTTGGAACACTTTGGAGAAGTTATTACGTCCCTACAACTGAAGCTAGAGTTACACATTAGCTCATCAATCCACTAATGGAATTATTTATAAAATCTTGCCACAAAATGGTACAAACCAAACACCTAGGATACAAGGGTATTTTTGACTTCAGGCACAGACGCAAAACTAAGTGTATGTACTAGCTAAACTTCTTACCAAGTATCGGGAGAAAAGGACAAAAGGACTATCGTTGCAGATAAAGAAAGAAGCACACTATCACAAGAACAATGTTTCCCATGTGTACCTTCATGAACTTTGACCCACCAAAGTACTCCTCTTGTTTAAGCCGTGAAGTTTTCACATAGCGGGAGACATAGGTCGCTTTTCCATCTTTGATGCGCATGCCGTGAATCATTCTGCATTGTAATTAGTGTCATGCTATAAGTCGTCGTGTGAGCACGAGGAGGATATGCATTATTGTAAATAAGTCACAAACTTGTAAAAACTCGATCTTTACTTCTCATTTACAGCATGTAAAATGAACCAAATTTCACCCTGTTCAACAACTACCAAAAACTTTTCAACCACATGAACTCCACCGCAAGCACATATGCATAACCCAGAAAAGAAGAAGTCATTGGAACCAGCACTCAGAGGAAGAATATTGCAAGATACCAAAACAACTTAGTCAACCAGACAAAGGTTCTAGCAGTAATAATATGATCCAAGTGACCTAACATTTAACAAGGAAGGACAAATGGAACATCTGAAGATAACAATCATCCGGAAGTAAATTAAAGAACTGTCCTAAAACAAGAACCAGGATGTGAAAGACGCACCCATCTCCATCAAACCTGCACATAAGAAACCAAGAATAAGGTTAGCTTATCATTTCATATCAACATAAATAACTGGCTGATGCAATATAAGTTTCATAAAAGAAATCCCAGCAAACAAATCAGAAACAACAGTCAGATATAGAGAACATTATCCAATTATGCATGATAACTAATATAGCTCTAGAAGAAAAAAGGATTACCAATGATATCCAGCAACAGGAGCAAACTTCGGATTTGGACCAACCCTCACAAATTCACCATTGAGGCATTCCTGCCGTTGCAAAATTCCCAACTCAAATCAGTTTCACATTCAAGACATTAGGTAGGTCTTAGGAAGCTATGAATAAGATAGTGTCAAAACATAAATATAAAAGTATCAAAGCCAGGCGACCTTATGATATAATTCACATTAAGGGAGTGTTTGTTTATAAATTATTCCATTCCATACTCAATACATATTCAAATTTCAACTCAACTCTAACCCAACTTCACTATCCACAATATTATCAATATAATTAAATAATACCAAACAATCATTCTTAAACATCAGTACATCACATCAATTTTAATTCACTATTCATCTACTAACATTATTTTTAACTAACCATCATTTCACATCATCACTCACCCACTTTTTCATCAAATCAAATTTAATTATTTTATTTTAAATACTATTTTAATATAAAATCAAAATCTCATTACCAACTTTTTTAAAATTAACCTTAGTTAACCCAAAAAACTCGTTTTGAACGGATATATTTGTATCCAAGCACGCACTAAACTTTACGTCACATTGCATGCCAAGATCCTATATCTTGGTATTCGAAGGGGGGGAAGGGAAACTTTCCCTTGATTAATCATAGTACTTTAGAGATCAGACTTTATGAAATCCCTCTAAAACTTCTTAACAGGAACTTGGATGTTTTAATCAAAAAATGTCGAATGGTTTTCGTCTTTCTTTGTAATTCCAAAGGTAATTCCAAAGTAGAAATGTCTTCTCTAGCACTTCATCTCTTCGATTAGTTAAGAAAAAAGAATAATAATAATCCAGAAGAACCAAATTCAGATGAGAGTCAAAATTCATGGATATGAAAAGATTGTTCAACAATAAACTATTTAGCATTAGTGAATGGAAAAAATTGAATAGAACCCAATATATGCTAAAAGTCTAAAAGCAGAAGTAGGGCACCTAACAAGTCAACGGATTCATCATTCATGTCCTCGTTCATATTAATAATGCATTTTCCTTTGCACCACTTTCCTTTGTACCAACCAATTTGAAAACCTCGAAAAGAAACTAATAATAATGCACACTAATGTCTGTTCTCGGAGCTAACATAAGCACAAAACAAACATACTTGGGCACATATGATTGTCGACAGCGCACGCACAGCAAGAAAAAGAATATGCTCAATACAGAAGGAACAAATACTTCCATAAGAATTAAGAAGCTATAACAGATACTTCTCCTTTCTCCCAAAGAGGGACTCAGGAATAAATAAAAAGAAAAAAGTAGAAATGGGAAACAAAAGGATTCTCAGTCCAATTTGAAAACATGCTGGAAATTGCTTCTCCATCTAGTGTGTGTGTGTGTGTGTGTGTGTGTTTCTTCATGAGCTGCAGAGCAACAGTTAATCTTCATCTTCAACAGGGAATACATATTCAATCCCATTCCCAACAGAAGGAACAGAGAAACAAAAACAGACAAGCAAAATTGCAGAGAGAAGTGAACCAAACACGCATATAATTGACAATAAAAAAAACAACTCGCACAATCTCCGCCAGATTTAAGAAAAAGAAAAAGGGAAAACTCACCGGGAGGTGCCCTATGACCGGAAGATCGGCAAGAGGCGAAGTCTCGTCGACAGGGGCAAAGTTGCCGGAGAGGTAATGAAGGGGGGCCTTAGGATCATGCATAATTTTCACAAAGGCCCATTCAAGCCAGTCCACCGCCTTGGAGGCCAGCCCTTTATTCGGCTTCGGCTCCACCAAAACTACGCCGGCGGACGTCCTCTCCTCTCCCTTGAGGCCCATTAATTTCTAGCTTCTTGTTTTTTGTGATTGTGATTTTGTTTGTGAGTGTAGTGTTAGATGATGGGGTTTTTAAAAAGGGGATGGAAATGTGTGCATGTGAGTGAGTGTATGTGTATTGGTGAGCCGACGGCCACGTTAGCTTGTGAGGAGATTTGATTAAGACAATGGCCTTGTTTGGTAATCAGCTGTTAGCTGTTAGCGGATTGAATTAGTTGTTTTGACCAGCGAATTGTGTTAGTTGTTTTGACCAGTTGATCGTGTTAGCGGTTTATAAAAAAATATTTGGTAAAATTAGTTATTTGTAAAAAAAAATGTTTCTCAATTAATATATCATATTTAATGTAGTTATATGTTATAAATAAAAAAATTATTATAATATAACACATGTAAGTCGCACAAGTAACAAATATCATT